TCGCCTTGGAGTAGCAGCAGCACATTCAAACACCGTATAGGGTTTTACTTTATTTTTTTGGCCGTACTGTGAATTGAACCCCAGGTCTTTACACTGAGATGCACCAGTAACCCTTTCTAATTTTGAGGCAGAGGCTTGCTGAGTAACCCAGGTGAGGCTCAAACTTGCAATCCTCCTGCCTCAACCTCTGAAAACACTGATACTGTAGGCGTGTGCCACCACGCCCAGCTGGAGGGCATTGAGAAGCTGGCTCTCACCCTCCTCTGGCTGCCATCATCCTGAATATATGGCTTCGTGTGCTGAGAACACACAAGGTCAAAACCCATCCCGAGCAGGACCTACATTTCCTGTGCTGAACCAGAGTCAACAGGCTGCCCACAAGTGGGAAAGGTAACTAGGACCCCAGAGAAAGGTCTCCAGGGTGACAGGTGAGTCCTTTGAGAGCAAGCATCCTCCTCCTTACCACCACTTCCTCCTCCCTTCTGCACAACTGGGGACTGAACAGTTCTTTAACTTTGAGACGCGCTCTCACTAAGTTGCCCAGGTTTGGCCTGCACTTGGGATCCTCCTACCTCAGCCTCCTAGAGTGCTGAGATTACAGGCTTGGGCTACTACGCATAGCTCCGTTTTTTAGTGCTGTACTTTGTGACTCGTTAAATGCAGAAGCACTATTTCCTCAGTGGAGATACTCAAAGCAGCTGGGCATAGTGGTACCCACCTGTAATCCCACCTACTCTGAAAGCTGAGGCAGGAGAATCACATACTCAAGGTCAGCTCTGTGAGGCTCTCTCAAAAACAAAAGGGCAGGCTGGCACTGAGGGGGAGGGGCTTGCTTGAAATTCACAAGGCCCTGGGCTCCTGCCCCTCCAGGGGCAGCAAGAGCTGCCATAGGCAGCCCCCAGCTAGAGGCAACAAGGATAGAGGCCAGCCTGCAGAGAACTTGCCTAGCTCCAACCTTCCTGTGATGAAGTCAGGGTGCTTCTTGGGAAGCCATCAGTCCCAAGGAGGCATCCACAGCCAAACTCTGTACCCGTGCGCATCCCAGGGTCAGCCCTCAACACCTTGGGTTGCAGACACCTTTCCTGCCACCCCCGCCCAGTCTCCCCAACCCTAATGGAAGGGAGAAAGAATGGTGGTTGTAAGACATGCTCAGAGCTGACTCTTCACTGCCCCATCCAAGTTATTCATATTCCCTGGCATCTGTTTCCTCATTTATAGAAGGGCAATCCTAACGTAAGCACTTCCCATGCTGTCCTAAAGGGGCACCAACAGTATCTAGGGACTCACTGGTGACAGCACAAGGCCACTGTGGGCTGGGGACAGGAACCAGCACCCTCCCCCACCGGCCTGCCCCCCCTCCCCCGCTGCTGCTGTTTCTAACTGACCACTAGGCTGGCATAAAACTTCTGTACCTCGGAGGCTGGGGATTTAGCTCAGCGGCATAAGCCCCTGCCTTGCAAGCAGGCAGTCATGAGTTCGATCCCCGGTACCTATAAAAAAGGAAAAAAAAAACAAAAAAACTTCTGTACCTCTTAAAAATACACATCACCATTGGGTGTGGTGGCACACACTTCTAATTTCAGCACTTGGGAGGCTGAGGCAGGAGGATTGTTGTGAGTTCGAGACCAGCCTGAGCTACAAAGTGAGCTCAAGGCCAGCGTGAACTGCATAGGGAGACCCTGCTTCAAAAAAACAAGAAATAAAACCTTACACCACCACACCATCCTGTGCACGATGGTGATCATCTTCAATCCCACCCGAGGGAGACTGAGACAGGAATATCCTAAATGCAAGGCCAGCCTGGACTTCAAAATGAGACCTAGACTTTAAATAAAAGTTGAAAAACCAAAAACAACCTACACCACCTCAGTCCAAGAACGCAAATACCAACTTCCACAGGTGCCTCCTCATTAAAAAAGATCACCATAAGGGCTGGAAGTACAGTGCAGCAGTGAAGCACCTGCCTAGCCTTTGTAAGGTTTGGTCCCCAGCATGAGAGGGTGGGAGTGGGTGTGCAAGTCTGTAATTCTAGAATTCAGGAGGCTGAGGCAGGAGGATCACTGAGTTTGACAGCAGCCTGGACTACAAAGTGAGCTCAAGGCCAGCCTGAACTCATAGGAGAATCTGTCTCAAAAAGACAAAAGGTATTACTGTAACTTAGGCCAGGCATGAATCTCAAGTTCAAGGGTAGCCCTGGGTTCAGTCCCAGCACTAGCAGATGGAGACACTGCAGCGGAGGGATACTCTGTATTAGGAAAGTAAGGTCCCACTGTAAAAATAGCAGGGCTGCCTCTCCTGAGACACCAGAGGCCTCCAGAGAGAAACCCTGGCACAGGATACCCTGGGCCTAGGGGCTGGAGCACAGCACAGCAGGCCCCACTTCAGTAGGAGTAAGGCCTCTGATAAAAGGGACACACTTGGCCGCTCCCTTACATCCTCCCCTACTCCCCTCAGCTTCCAAGGGACATCAAAGCTTTTAATGCATCTCCTCCCCAAGTGGCAGGAAAATGTCCACGTCCCCTAACTTGGCCTAGCGTTGCCTTTGTTGCCTTCCCCTCCACACTCGGACCGGACCCTTGGCCTGCAGTTACCCAAATACCGCCTGGGGCTTCAGATACGCCCATCCCCACTTTGCCCGCCCATCTCCACTTAGCCCACCCCCACTTCACTCAGGCCACGCCTCCTCCTCCCAAGGGCTCTGCCCCCGACACCTGCCCCCTCCCCTACATCCAGGGATACAAAGTACCAGACGCTGACCCCCCCCCCCGCCTTATTTTATCTATTATGCTTCGGGACCACAACCTTTTCACCCATGTCCCTAATTCCCGGGTCCAGAAAGGAAATCTAATGCTTAGGCCATAGATGAAGCACGGGCACACAACACAGAGATTTTAGACAAGCTTCCCCACTGACAGCTCCCAGAATCCTAAAAAGGGCTCTCTTTCAGCGACCCAACCACCTTTAGGGCCGAGGACTGCCACGACACTAGGGTCTGCTGGCTTTCTAGCCTTGCTCCAGCATATCTCCAAGTCTTTGAAGAGCCAGCCTGGGCACACCCCCAGGGCCGCAAAACTCCTTCCCCTAGGGATTCCAGAACTGAAGACCCAGGGGGCACCTAAACCAAAGAGCCCGGTTCTGGCCCAACCCCCTAAAACAAGGTGAACCCCCCCCCCAGCTCCTGGAGCACCTCAGAGGCTGCGGGGAGGGGAGGGGGACCCACCATAGCTCTTACCAGACCAGAGCAGACACTGGGGCCCCAGATCCCAGGCCTGTGTCTGCTCAACACCAGCAGATGCTCCCCGCACCCACCCTTTCAGGCACCACTGCAAAGCCACCTCAGCCCCTAGAAAAACAGCAGGGACTCTGCTTTCATTAGTCCTGTTCCCTCTCTCAAAAGGGGAGTTAGAAAAAGTATCCGGGGATTAGCTCAGCGACACAGCATCTACCTGGCAAGCAAGAGGTTGTGAGTTTGACTCCCAGCATTAGAAAGAAAAAGAAACAGGAAAGCCCGGACAGGGTGGTGCAGGCCTGCAATCCCATCCCAGCTACTTGAGAGGCAGAGGCAGGAGAGCAAAAGTTTGAGGCCAAGCTGAGAAACTTGGTAAGACCCTGTGTCAAAGTTAAAAATAGTAAGAGGAAAAAAATGGGCCAAGGATGTAGCTCAGTGGGAAAGGCCCTGGCTTTGATCCCCAGTACTCCAAATAAAAACATTCTAAAAACTTTTAAAAGGATCAGGCTAAGGTATGTAGGGAAGTACTTCAGCTATACGACGATTGCACCCTCAGTACCAGAAGAAAAAAAAAAGCCAAAACCTCAAGACTTCGGCCAGACCACATGGTTATCTACCACCCAGAGCTGTGGGTCTGAGGGTCGGCCCTAGCCTTTCCCTTTACAGATGCAGTCAAGGTCCTTGCCCAGCTTCTCCAGAGACACTCCCCTCCCCCAGCCAGCCCACCCGAGTAGCAGAACAAGCAGGGACCCAAGCACATCAGTCACGCCGTCCCAATTATCAGGGGTGTCGGGATGGAGGGACCATCCCCCAAGGCCTGCAGGGTAGGCTGAGCTCACCAGGGCCCAAAGACTCGACCACTCCCGAGTCACGACCTCAGACCCTCTTTTCTCTCTCTGAACCCAGCCAGAGCTGTGTACTCTCCCCGTTACCCCTACCCCGCCCGGGATCAAGGATCCAGATCTAGACTCTGAAGATGCGGCGTTCTTAGGCTGCGGAGGCCGCAGGCTCCTCTATGACCCAGGCTGGGAGCTGGCGGCATGGGGGCCCAGCGGTGGGTGCCCCGACACCCTGCACCGAACCCAAAGCACAGAGATGGGGCGACGCCAGCCCCTCACGCAGGGCCCTGCGGTTGCCCCCACACCCAAAACCGCAGGAAGGGCACTCCACATGGATAACTGGGCCTTGGTTTCCTGGACAGGGGCAGGAAGGGTTGCTTGGCCCCGCAGTGACACAGCAGAGGCCCTTGGAGAACCGTGATGGGCTGCGCCCCGCCCCGGGCTCCAGCCCCACCCCGCCCGCCACCAGCTGCCACCCCGGCACACCCCCTTCCCGCACAAGGCACATGGTCGGCGGGTTAGACGGTGTGCGCTCTCTCCGCAGGGCTCCACCCCATCCAGCTCCGGGATCCCGACGCGGCTTCCAGAGGGGGGAAGAGAGGGGAAGAGGAGGAGGAGGAAGCAGGATCCGGGAGCTGAGCGGCTTCAGCCCCCTCCTTCCCCAGTCACATTAAGGCGGCGGCACCAACCCACCCACCTGCGCCCGGCGCGCGCCCGCCGTGAGACCTGGCCCGAGGGAGCCCAGGTGCGGGCGCCACAGAGCTCCAGGGCCCCGCAAGAGGGGTCGGGGCGAGGGCGTGAGCGGGGGAAGCGCCGCCGCCACCCCTGAGCAGTGCGTCCCGGTCGCGGCGGGCCCCGGGGTCCGAGCCGCGCGGAGTCTCGGCCGCAGCCGGCGCCTCCTGAGCCCGCGCACGCCCCACCGCGGGACCCACCTCGTCCTCGGGGCCACTGCCGTCCGGGCTCGCGCCGCTGCCGGTGACCGCGCCGGGCTCGCCGTCCGGCTTCAGGCCGCTCATGGTCTGGGACGCGAGACGCGGGTCGCTGGGCGAGGGCGTGTGGAGGGCGCAGGACCCGGGCCGCCTTTTCACTGCGCCCGGCCGGGGCGCCTGCGGCGGCGGAGGACGGGGCGGGGCGGACGCCAGAATCGGGCGCAGCTGGGCCCCTCCCTCCCGCGGCCGGCCCGCGCCCCCGGGCGGTGCAGCCAATCCCCGCGCCCCCGCTTCCCCGGCCCGGCCCGCGGCGAGTTTTTAAACTTTGATGAAGTCGCAGGGCCCACTTCCTTCAGGGGCCCCCCGAGGGGGCGCACGGCGAGGGGAGGGAGCGACTCCGGCTGGCCGCGCCGAGCGACCCCGAGAAACCGCGCCTCCGCCCGGCGTGGAGCGCGGCCCGAGCCGCCCGCTTCCCGCCCTTGCAGGGAGCGTGGGGAGGCGGGCACCAGCCTGCGCGCCGGCCGGGCGACGTCGCGTCCAAAGGTTCCGCGCCCCCTGCGGTGACCCCGAGCCTCGCTCCCTCGCCTCACCCCTGCGACGACCGGAGGGGTCCCGCCCCCAGCGGGGTCCCGAGCCTCGGTCCCGCTGTCTGGGACACCGTGCTTGGGGCCCCGGCGTGGCCCTGGCTCTCCCTCGTGTCGCCGCAGCCCACACGCCTTCTCACTGGTAGGTGCACCGAGGCCAAAGGCGGCCTGGCCTTCCTGGTGACCTTCACCTGGCCGATGGGGACCGAGCTGCTGCGGCCGGCCCGAGACACCCTCGTCCAGCATCCGCCGTCGCCGTCGCCGACGCTCGGTTCAGGCCCAGCCTCGAGCAGGGACCAGGCACTGCCAGTCTATGGGGGGCACCGCGGTTTACCTGGTTTTCAGGACACTTCCAGCCAGATAGAATTAGGTTCCGTTCTTTTTTAAATTTTTATGTATTTTTTTGAGACAGGGTCTGGCTTTGTAGCATGGGGTGATCTTCCTGCCTCAACCTCCTGAGGGCAGAACAGACCTTCCCCTCAGGCCAGTCCTCTGCACTGGCTAAATTGGAGTAAGAGGAACTTACTCTTCCACCTCCCCATCTGATCCACCCACACCCTCCCTCCCCTGAGGGTCCTGCTGTGCTCTGCTCCCCATCCCCCCGGAGCCACCCCTACCTGGTTCATTGGAATTTCTCGTGGATGGGGATGAGGGGCACGCTTCTTGTAGTTGTGGTCTCCATTTTATCTATGGGAAAGCAGAGGCTCAAAACAGGTGACATGTGGGAACTGGGCTGGGATTGTAGGCAAACTAGGTGGTTGTGATTATGGCCCTTGGTCTTGTTGCTGGTTTGTAGGTCAGAATGAGAGACTGCATCATTTCAGCTCCAGTGTTTTCTCCAGCCACCCTCACCCTGAGCAGCACTGTAAATCCAAACCCAACTTCAAACCCAGGACCAATGCTGTTTTCCAAAGTAACTTTCAGGAGACCTAGGCCTGCATTGGGCTGACCATAGCAACTTGTGCATGTAAGGCTTTGATTTCTCAGGTATCACCCAAGCTTTCCAGTGTCAGCCAACCTTCTCTTGGTTGCTCTGACCCTGAAAGTTCAATGTTGTTTCTCCTGTCCCCACCACAAGGCTGAATCATAGTGGGGTGGGTGCCTTGAGGACAGCGATGTTGTCTTTTCTCATCTTTGAATCCCGGCGCCTAGCAAAAGTATCTCAAGATTGGATGAGTGATAAAAAAGCTCAGGTTCCCATGGAGGAAAAAAAAAATCATGTAAGAAATATCTTTTATACTAACATGTCAATGACTGCTTTCTCTCTGCACGTGCAAGAGTAAAGCACCAGGAACCTGAAAAGGGAACGTGCACAGGGTTAAGAAACAGAGAGAAACCCAGAGAGACACCTGAGCAGGCCGGAAAGTATCTGGCTGGACTCTGAGCTCCCTACTTCACCTCCCACTCAGCAGCTAGCAATGCTGCCTTTCCCACTGGATGGGCCAGTGGCCTTTGCTGATGTGGAAACTCAGCTTCAGTGAGTTTGAATTCCAGGATGGGCTGGAATTCGGGATGCTTCTACCTCAGCCTCTCTCCCAAGTAACAGGATTGCCCACACTTGCTCCACCAAACTGATTCTGTTTAATTTCAAAATGAAGTGGCTTGGTTTGAGATGAGTGTGGTGGTCCACACCTGTGATCCCCGCATTTGCACTCAGGAGACTGAGGCTAGGTCCCCAAGAATTTGAGGGCAGCTGGGCTACCGAGTGAGTTCAAGTCCATTCTCTACTACACAGCAAGACCTTGTCTCAAAACAAAGGGAAAAAAAGGTGGTTTGAATGTGTTGGCACCCAAATCCCCAGATTCCTATATTTACATTGTTGGAAGGGGGCGTGGCCACAGAGTTCTTCCCAGATGTTGAACAGCCAGGGTATGTGCTCCCTGGTCTCCAGCCTCCACAACTGACAGCTGACTAAAACTATTCTCTAGAAATTACCTCATCTCAGATTGTTGTTGTTACAGCAACAGAAAATGAACTGAGCAGGTGAGTTGGAAATGTTTTGTCTTTTTGTTTGGTTTGGCTTTTTTGAGACAAGGGCACCCTATGTAGTCTAGGCTGACTTTGAACTTACCCAGGCTAGTTTCGAATTTGAGATCCTCCTGCCTCAGCCTCTTGATCTCTGCAATTTTTTTTTTTTTTTTTTTTTTGACATGGAGTCTTTGCAGTTCAGGCTGGCTTCAAACTCAAGGTGATCCTTCTGCCTCCGCCTCCAGAGTGCTGGGATTACATGGGCCACCATGTCTGCCTTGCACAGGAATTATATAGATCTGTGCCACTACATCTGGCTTGGAGATGAAAAACGAAACTAAACAAATATCTTTTCATACAGGCCTTTCAACAACCTTTTTAGATCCTCTAAAATGTCTTTTTTTTCCCTTTAAAAAAAGACTATTTTGTTCTGTTTTGTACTGGGTTTTAAGTCTGGCATTGGTTACACAGCACTTGCCAAACTCCGACTGGGGTTGAGTCCCCTCGGGAAACAAAGGTCATAAGCCTCTGTCTCTCCAGCTGCTCCCCTGGCTGAGCTGGGCCAGTGCTTCCCTCTTGAAGCAGCCCTGCTTGGTGGCTCCTGGGAAAGCCAAGGGGCTACCATGGCCAGCAGGTTTGAGGGTCAGCATCTCCTGGGGTGAAGTGACATGAACCAAGGGACAGTGAGCTGGCTCTGCCTGTGCCACTGAAAGTGGCAGTGTGCCCCTTGTGCCTTGGACACACAGCCCCTGAAGAGAACAGAGGAGTACAGTCATCTCTAAGGTTATGGGACCTCGCCAGCTTGTAAGAGGAAGGGCCACTCTGGACTGCATGGCTTCCACTTGTTTTTTGTTTTTGTTTTTGTTTTTTCCCGTTTGGTGTTAGGACTTGAACCCAGGGCCTCATACTTACCAGGCAGGCACTGTGCCACTGAGCTGTATCCCCACCCCAGAGCTTCCACTTGGGATAAATCTGTGTGTGTGTGTGTGTGTGTGTGTGTGTTTGAGACAGGGACTTGTGATGTCAATCTGGAAAAAGAAAATAATGGATATTAGCTCTTTCCCACCCTGGCCCTGGCCCCCGGCAATTGGCACAGGTTCTAGAGATGTCCTTGGTATTTATAGACATTTGTGTGTATAGTTTTCATGTGGATCCTGGCATCCTTATGAGCTTGAGGCCAGCCTAGGCTACGTAGTCAGTTTCAGGTCTCTCTGAACTATATCATGGGACCTTGTCTCCAAAAAAGAAAGAAAGGAAAAAAGTCAAGCTCCAATGGTTGTGTTCCAATAAAACTTTATTGACAAAAGCTGGCCGTGAACCTGCTTATGCCTTTGAGAAGTCTTACATTATGTCAGCCACAGTTGGGGGAGCCTCAGTGGATAGGCGCCTTCCTAATATGAGGTAAACCACATGCTTCATCCTTTATTTATCTCATTGGCTCTTGGAAGTCAGCATCTGGCCCCAGAAATCTTCACAGCAGAGGCTAGGGCTGTGAGCCCAGCTGGGGACCGGATCTCAACCCTGAGCACCTTGTGACCCCTGTGTATGAACCCATGAATCCTCTTAACTCTGTGGCCAGAGGTGGGGGAAGCCCAGCAGAAAGGGGCCAGATCCCCAGGCTCTCCAGAGTCAAAGTCTGCAGTCTAGAACAGTGGCCAGTGGCCAGGCACCAGCTGGCCCATCTTCAGGAGCTACAGACTGTGCCAGAAACAGCCACGTGGCCTGGGAACGCCTTCCCCAGGGGAGGAGCACTACCACCTAGCCTGGGAGGAGCTCTAGGAAGCCAAGCAGGATGGTTGCAGGTTTGAGCCCAGCCTGGGCAACTTGGGGATTTAGTGAGACCCAGTCTGCAAGGATCAGGGGTGGCAGTGCAACACCATGCAGTGGCCCTGGGTTAGACTTCCAGGACTGAAGGAAGGAGGCGGGGACCGAGGGGGCTTTGTGGGCTTGCTCTCTCCGAAGTATTTAGGGGTCGTCTGCTATTTCTAGCAGACCCCGGGGGATCTGCTGAGCAGTGAGCTGCTCTGGACACAAGTGGAGGGGTCCAGGAAGCAGGTGCCTGAACCTGATTTGGCTGGGGTGTTGGGGAGCAGAGAGGAGCCCTCGAGCAAGACAAGTGGGGAGAGAGCAGGGTGGCTGCGGCCCCGGGAAGGTGGAGGGGGCCCTGCGGGTGGGCACTAGGGGAGGAAGCCAGAGCTGCTTTCCTTCCACGCTAGCGCCTGGCTGGAGAGGCATTAGCATGCCAAAGGCCTGGGCTCCACCTCAGCACCTGTAATTAGGCTTAAACCTGCTGGGGGCAGTCTGGCCAGCCTCAGCCTCAGGAAGGGCCTGGCCCCTTGTCAAATTGCAGTTATTTCTCTTTGTAAAGAGGAAGCTGCAGTTTGGAGAGGGTTAGAGCCCATCCTCAGAACCAAGAGTAAAAAGGAGGGAGACCAAAAGCCGGGCTTGGTAGCTCACACCTGTAATCCCAGCATTCCGGAGGCTGAGGTGGGAAGATCGTTGGGAGTTCAAGACCAGCCCGAACTACATAGAGACCCTGTCTCAAAAAGACAAAAAAAAAAAAAAAACATGTCTCAAAAAGAAAATTTTAAAAAAAATGTCAGGGGATGGGGCTGGGGATTTAGCTCAATGGCATAAGCACCTGCCTTGCAAGCAGGCAGTCATGAGTTTGATCCCTGTACCGATAAAAACGAAAAAGACAAAAAAAATGTCAGGGGAAACCAGAGCTGTAGCTCAGTACTC